AGAAAATATCAAACACGTGTGATATTTTCCACACGCAAGAAATCGCTGTGTTTGCACGCGCACACGGTGTGTCTTGTGCTGCGCCATCAGGCACGCGTGTCCGATGGCGCAGCACAAGACACACCGTGTGCGGCAAGCCTAACCGATAACACCCCTCAGCTCACCGATGCTAGTCTGTCAATTGAACGGAAACTGGCTTCGTCTGCAAGCGCTTGGTGCTTGGTGCGTTTGGTGCGTGGGGCCGGTGACATAGATATGTTCATGATATGTTCGCATTTATAACTTTTATTTGTGTTAAATTTACAAGATAATAATTTTCTTGTCGTAGAATTCATTTTAACGTACCAATTTACATGTAAGAAGATATTAAAAAAAGTCTGGGTGCAAGCCAAAAAGCATACGGGCATGCACGAGCGAACTAGCAGTGGGCATTACGTTACTTTCTTCATACACTAACAGCAAAACATGTTGTTGCAGGTAGTACATTCATTTTACACTCTCATTTGATTTTACGCTCAGCGATAAAAATTATTCGGATCGTTTTCTCGAATGTTTATGTCGTTTCAAAGAGTAAAAATCTAAAGCAAGCAGACTTGATACAGAGGAATGACCAGTTTCCGTAAGAAGTAGATACTATTTACTAAAATACTGCAAATTTCTATAATTGTTTTGTATTTGATTATTGGGCGTTTCTCAAATAAATAGAAATATCTTCTTTGATGTTCTAGATAGAATGCGGGAGTGACATGCGTGTGAGTACCGTTTTTCTGCATAATAAATAAATAAATATATAAATATATAAATATATATATAAATATATATATATATATATATATATATATATATATAACATACATGTTAGCGCATTCACAATTCATCAATTTCCATGAAGGCCCCCGCACACGGTGCGCATTCGGCGGGCGCCAACGGCGCTGGGTGCGGGCGCCTTGACGTTTTTCTTTGATCCTTTGCAATTCGGTAGCGTGTGGCAGTCAGTGATTGATGACGACTGGTTATGTGAAAGTTTGCGTATGAACGTGTACGAGCCGTGTGCGTGTGTGTTCCACCTCTCTCTATTTCTCTCTCTTACTTTGCGCGCGCGCGCGTGTGTGTGTCTCACCTCTCTCTATTTCTTATTTATTTCTCTCTCACTTTGCGCGCGCGCGTGTGTGTGGTGGTGGGGTGGGGTGAGGGTGAGGGGTTAGTTTGCCTCTGACTTGGTGCGCACGGGTTACACCTCCATTTCTGCACTGAATAATACCTCTCTGCTTTGTACAAATGTCATTTGATGTAATCATTAGCATGGTTTCCGCGTTATTTTGTAAGCAATTTAACCATGACGTTGGGATTACATATAGCAGCTGCTGAAACAGCTTATAAACCTTGATTAAACAGTACGATATTTTTTACAACAGAGAGCCTACAACTTGTAGGCCTACTGTTGAAAATCGTACTACTATGAATAAATAAAAAACAGAATAAATAAGACCTCGTTTATGTATTTAATGAATTGAGAGTTTATGACGGTACAGTGCTGGAAAATTCTGAAACTACCCGCTACATATTCGTTCATATTACTATAATAACCAAAATATATCGCGCTACTAGTTGTGATCGATTTGCTTTATTATTATGCCACATTAGAATAAGTGTCAGGGTTTCTTCTGAGGAAAAATTAGACAAAGGATGTAATGGCCCGTTTGGGGGAAAAAAACGCTCATAATGGATTCAAATGCGCGTTTACGCGTCTTGAGGACCTAGCAAACCGATCCCGCCTCCAGGAGCTCGCCCAGCTAGGGGGGTTGGGGGGCATGCTCTCCCGTAAAATGTTTGAAAAAATAGTGCAATTTGGTGCATTCTCAGCTATTCTGAACACATTGTATGAGACTCTTGAATCTCTTTTCAAGTTGTCAAAAGGAACAAATAAACTATGAATATGAAATGATACAAGTATTCACATTAAATAGTAATACCGTCGAAAACGAGGCGTATTCCTGGAGCGTGGCAAAGATCCGGAAGCTTCCGGTATGGTATCAATGATCTTATTAATTTTAGTACATACATTTGAAAAATATGTAATTCAACCAAAGATTTAAAAAAATATTATTAGTTAATTATTTTTACATGCTATCATTTGCGTTAATAACGCTCAACAGCATGAAATACGATTTTATTTCAACGAAAGCACTTTCCTGGTTTAGAATACAAACGAACACCTATGCATATGTATGTATAGGTATAACGCCCTTAGCGGCTATTTAATTATTAGCATTATTTATTTTACTTTCTCTAATTGATAATGCCTTTCTAACATATTCTAGTGCTGGTTTAAGTTTTTTCGGGTCATCACTTTTCCAATTATCTACTCGTTCCCCTTTATTATACCCTCCATATATCTTACATGAATATAAAGGGTCCAAATTCTCTTTTTTTCCTTCATCACACAAATCACATATATTATTACTGTGGTTATTTTTAAAATTACTTTTCAAGTCTATCATGCAAGTCTTACACCTAAACACAAAGCATGCATCATCAAACGACAATTTTGTCACGTATGGCTTGCTTTTTTTTATATTTATTTATTTCGATAATTAACAAAGCATACATTATATCGATAACAGCATAAATAAAACAAAATGCAGATAGAAAATTATCGAGGATGAAAACACAAAAAGCGTGGCTAACACACTTATTTCCATTGTGGTCCAACATAACATTTTACATACTATAAACTATAGCAAATATACCCACGATCCCCAAAATTTCTGAGTGATACAGTGAGTTGGAGCAGTTAAATAAAAAAATAAAAAAATAAAAAATAGAAGCTTTCTGAGTGATACAATACAAAACAGTGCTATATACCATGAAGAAAAAATATAAACGAGAAAAAAAACTTCAGCATATTCTGTACAAGTAAAGTGATTACGGCAAATGTTTAGCAGGTAGAAATGATGTTTCCTGAGTGAATACAGCACAAAGCAGTGCAGAACAACATGAAGAAAAAACTAAAAACACAAAAAAACGTCATCAAATTTTGTACAAGTAGTACCCTTTTAGCACATCATTTCGACACTCGGTTATAGCTTTAGTCCATATTCAATCCAATTCAATTAAATTTTTTTCAATTCAAATCATTTATTTTGCTCATCAGCAATTTACATATACATTCGATCAATCAATCAAGTTGTAAATAATAATTCGAGCAGGGGAGTGGTGAATTGACTCAAAGTCATCTAGTCTGCCACTCCCCTAAAATACAAAAATATAAAGACTGATAGCTACTGCATTACATGTATAACGTTATACCAGTAAAAATTCAATAATTCAAATACAATACAATACAATAATACAATACCATACAATACAAATACAATATACACTAAATACAATAATACAAATACAATACAATACAATAATACAATAATACAATGCAATACAATACAAATACAGTGATACGACAAATGGAAAATTAGCTGTTATATTCTCTTACACGGCTATATTCATATAATTTATTTAAGATTCTTGACCGTGTAAATCGAAATCTCATATTTATGGTATTATTACATATATACATGTCAGCAATTGAGTTCCTCTGGATCACCACCGTTCTCATATTTTAGAAGAAGCAATTTTTTATATTCTAATTTAAATGTTGAAAATGATAATTTCTTTAATTTGTCGGGTAGATCATTCCATACTACGACTCCTCTATATTTGAGTGACCTCTGACCTCTTGTAGTATTATATCTAGGTAGGAAATAATGGTTTGGAAGCTGAGCGGTAATAGTTGATTCATACACTGCAGTTTTTTTGGTTATCAGTAGTTTGAGAATAGTTCTGGCAGAACTGTCAGAATCTAAGTGATACATTGAATTTACGCTACTTCCAATTGAGTATAATATCTTTCATTTTAGTAATCTTAAATTCGGTATTTCGCTGTATATATTGACGTAGATTTCTGGGTGTGTAGCGTGATAATATTAACTATTTTATTTTGCACAACGACCTTTATAGCGACAACAAAGTGTAGCTTCTATTGCGCAGATCCCCATGTCCTATATTGAAATAATTGCAAATATGAACGAACTAATGCATAAGTAAAATGGTTATTAATAAATCTTTTGTAATATATTGCCGTAGTCTCAATATTACACCTGACACTTTAGAGATTTTTTGGGTTAGATACTTAATATGTTCAAGCCAATTCAACTCATTATCTATAAATACACCCAGATATTTTATTTTTTTAGTTTGCACCAAAGATTTACCACGCATGTATAATGAAAAGTCTGGGTTGGAATTCTTACCATAAGAAAAGATAATAAATTTTGTTTTAGAGAAATTTAATGATAACTTATTTGTTCGCATCCATATATCAATTTTCTCCAATTCAAAATTACAGCGAGTTTGTAGTGCATGAATATTCGGATCGGACATAAAAAGATAAGTATCATCAGCAAATAATCGGGCATGAAAATTGGAGATATTGGAAGGTCATTAATATATATTAGAAAATAGTAAAGGTCCCAAAGGTTGAACCTTGAGGAATTCCACAAGAAATAGGTAATTCATCTGATTGTATTCCATTAATAGATGTATATTGTAATCTATTGGTAAGAAAGGATTTGAGCAAGGTTAATGGTGGCCCTCTTATTCCATAGTGTTCAAGTTTACTTAGTAAGGTATTATGGTTAATTGTATCAAAAGCTTTAGATAAATCTAGAAAGATACCACAGGTATAGTATTTTTTATCTAAAGAGGAAAGTAAATTATCGTATATATCAGAATTAGCTAGCATAGTCGAATGTCCTTTTCTAAAACCGAATTGACATGCAGACAGAATTTTGCTATCAGTGAGAAACGCATACATACGTTTATATATTAATTTTTCTAAAATTTTGGAGAATGGAGATAATAACGATATTGGCCTATAGTTTGAGCCCATATAGCTTTCGATGTTTACCATTTTCATTTTTGTTTTTCACCAGACCTCATGGTATTGGTATCTCTCATAATTACTGTTTTTAAAATAGCCTCCTTCACACATTTTTTCCATTCTTTCTTATGTAATCAGTTGGGAATTGGGTATGCTTGCCGTCGATAGAGGGCAGCACGTAATTGTCGCGGGCGGAATGAGCTCCCGCTCACGTATTCGCGCGCAAAGTTCACGAGTCACTTCGGCTGTAGGAGACATGTGTAACGTATCTGTGTAAAATGGGGATCAGGAGTGGAAGTACGCGGACTCGGTAAGCACGACTGAAAGGCGAGCGTTTGTGTCAGTTTGTAAGCATGTGTTTATATAGTGTTTATGTTGTATCAACTTCTCATGTAGTGTAATGACTGGAATAGTTAAGTCACTAGTCACGTTCCGTGACTCAAAATGTTAGTTTCGTTTGGCGCTCCGTGTGCCGTGATTCCAGTGAAGTTATGGAACGATACAAATGATGTTGTACACAGAGAGGGAGAGAGATAGATATGAAGATGTTACGATTTTGTTATGTCGCAGATGCGTACATAAGTTTGTCATTCCTTGTGTCTGTCAGTGATTTCTATTATTGGGTGGCAAACGGCTGGCTAACGTGTGCTTCAAGTTCAAGTTCCAGTAAAATTTATTTTCATCGGTATATCATGAACATTGTAACATAAGCTAAGACTAAGAGCTTTTGCACCGATATCAAACAAGAATAAAAGATATTGATTAAACATAATAAAAACTGCGTAACTGCAGTGTTATACTATCACATAGTCATAGGCCTAATTGGCCG